GTGTGTGTGTGTATGTATGCACGTATATATATATGTGTGTGTGTGGGTGTGTGTTTGTGTGTGTGTGTGTGTATGCATGCACGTATATATATATATGTGTGTGTGTGTGTTTGTGTGTGTGTGTATTTCTATTTAGTTGGATGCCAGTACATCTACAAAATAGGAACCTCTGCGTGTTTGGTTAAGTTAATGCATAGTTATGTGATTTACGGGTCGCGATTTTTTATTAAATAAAAATATTGACGTTTGTAAATACTGTATCCTTGGTACAATCGTATATGCTCATATGCGTTACTATTTTATGTATGTTTTACAAATATCTGTAGATTAGGTTTGTCTCATTCTCTATATTACTTCTCATGGAAGCCTAACGCCTTGTATGCCCAAAGTCGTATATTCCTGTCTGACTTTCGCTACGAAAATTACGTCCGCGATCGTTGAATCTAGAATTACCGTTGAAGCCTACCTGGGTTGAACTTACACACTACAGCAAATATGTGACCGTATCCTGCTCACGCTCAATCCTCTGTGGTGCGTTTAGGCATCCAATATATATATATGCATATTTATGGATGTGACTACCTATATGCGTTTATTTCACACACGTGATACATCTACAATATGTTTATTGTACAACTCTTAACATTGGCTGTGCGCAGTCAGGTGACTTCGTCTTCAAGACTCTGCGCTCGGACAAACACTTGGGGCGTGCCGTTGTGCTGTCTGAAGGGCACGCTCCAATACCGGCCACGTGCAATGACACTGACGCGGACAAAAATCAAAGCACGAACCAAAGCAAAGATGCGGGCGCACTCGCTGTTAAAAAAGGCGAGAGAGTATCAGTTGAGTTTCTGCACAACCAACATTGTTCCGATGAGTTGCTGAGTAAGCTGAGGGTGTGCTACCAACGTAGGGACCCTTTAAATAGCGTTCGCGGTGCGCTTGAGGTGGTGGTGTGCTATAGTACGACGGAGTATCGGTATGTGTGGAAAATAGTGTGGTCCAGTTACAGTACATTCGATGAGATTGTCTGGCCTGTCTCTTGTTGACACTGGAGTTCCCTAGAAATAGAATCCACAAAAGCATATCTATGTCTGGACTCGAAGTTTGTGCCTTCAGGGCGTTTCAATCTGATATGTGTTTCTGTGTTGTTCGTACCTACAGCTATTGCTGTATAGTACAGTGGCACTGTCTTCTTCGGGCCCTTTTCCTTTTAATCAGACTCTATCGCCAGCCACCGCTCACACTATCTTTACCCTTCATTCCCTCTGGCAGACACCTCGCCCGTACGATACCGCATTCTGGTGAACATGTGCTGGAGGTTGGGTGTTCCACCGGTAAGGCGTCCGCGATACTCAGCCGAAACTGTGGCCAGCTCACGGCTATAGATATCTCAACGGATTGCATTGCAAAGTGTAACAGCGACATGGCCGCGGGTGTGGGTGCGCAGTCGCACAATACAACGTACCATTGCTTCGATGTGTTTGCCGATCGGGCGTGTTTGCTGGATATGCTTAATCCCAAATCTGGTCTTGGGCATAGCAAGCAGACCCGTAGTCCGAAATTGGCCTGTAAACAACGCGAAACTCTTCCAGGGAGTTGTGGTTTGCCCACTACTCCTGAGGCAGCTATGAGCACTGGCACGAACGAACTGAGTGTGAAGGAACGCGATACGGTTCCTAGCACGGCTGTACAGATTTCAACAGATGTACCAGACACTAGGGCCCAAGATACCAACATCCACGGCATCAACAGTCCGGCAGACATAGGTGTGATATTTGTCGATATCGGTGGCAACCGCGATGTGCACTCTGTAGTTGAATTGCTGGCGTTTCTGGAGCGATACGCTAAGGACACGTGTGAGGTGGTGGTGGTGAAGAGTGAGGCGCTGTGTGGCGAGATGTATGCACAACTAGGTGTTGGCCTGAGGGTCACGAGAGACGAAGGCGAAATCAACAGCTCTTCTGGTCCAGATAAGTGTGGGCCTGGTATGGCGAGTGCTGGGCAAGATTCAGAAACCCGTATGCATGCATCACAGAAACAGACGAAGCCAAACGGCATGCCTGAGATGGTGCCGGCCCCTACTCACTCGTCCGTAGGACTGGGCGTGGGGACTGCGTGGATGCCGAATTGTTCTCTCTGGTGGAGCGCACTCTGCACTCGCGAGAGGCTACGTGCAATGGCTATCAAAGACAGCGTGGGAAAGAGTAGTACTGTACCCTTCGCCGCGAACATGTACCACCAACGACTAAGTCCAAAGAGTTTAAATTTTGGTGTGAGTAAGAGTTCTGGGGCTGTTTATATTTGTAGGTTTCACAACTATTCCGAAAGTGGTTGCAAACAATATCAGGAAGCTACGCAGATGCCAGGGTGTGAGGAGGAGTGCGTATATGATCATGATCATTGTCATGCTTGTTTGCTGCCTGGCCATATTGCCAGACAGTGTCTGCTAGTAGAGAAGCTCGGTGTGTGGTCCGCAAACGACGCTGGAAATGTACCATATTGAAAGGAAATCCATTTATTAGTTGTGCCCATGTATCAGCAACGATTCATTCCCCGCACAAAAGTGGAACGGGATGGGGTAGGTAGGTGCCATATCCACAGAATTCACAACGAGAGCAAGTTGTAAGGTGAAGACTTTCATAGGTCCGAAGTGCGCACCACAATTCACTCGTTGTCGATGGCCAAGTTGACTTCCTGCCCCGTTCTAACATTGCGCGCCTTAATGACTGCAGAGAAAATACAGACGAGCGGTCCTGACACAGTTCTCAAAGGTGATACCACCGGACACGAGAGACTTGAACCCAAACCCTAAAGTACTCTTGTGCATGCATGCCAGACAGCAATTATACATATACACAGACATAGGCACCGGTTGTCAAACCGCATTGTTACTCGGTGTGTGTGTTGCTACAAGATTGACCAATCAGTCTCGCGATGGAATCAGACACTTACCGATTTCTGTCAGACCGAATTGAAACGTTACGGTGCATTCATTGTCATCGGGGTTGAGCGAAGGATCGCATGGCACGCTAAACACGCCCAATTTAGTCAATGCAGGATCATCAATGTACAATGGAGGGGTGGTGCACTGTCCGGAGAAAATCTCCGATTTGATGGTCCGCTGGCCTAATGGGTCCAAAAGAAATACCAAAATTGTTGTTATTTCGAGCTCAAGATATCAACAGAGAACATCTGACCGCAAAGAAACAGGATAAATTTACTACAAGAGAACTCACCCTTGTGTACGGGGTAGTACGTTTCCGTGATTTGATGGTCCACCGGGATCTTCTGGCCTTGCTTCACATATTCGTGGAAAACCTCATCCACGACGTACTGTCCGAGCGACGGGTCGTATACGTGCCTACTCTTGTCGTGCTTTGCTAGGTCGTCGAATTCCGAGTGCTCCAGTCCGTACGTGTATGCACTGACCCGCGTCTTGATATTCGCCTTTGGATTTAGACCGAACAGCACGGCGCCGCGCACCACCGCCTCGCGAGGTCTTTTGGGTACAATCAACTGTAGGGAAGAGTTTATCTGATCCTTCACGGCGGCGCGCAGCGGCGTAAACAACGAAAAGCCGCCGACCAGTAGAACTTTAGATGCACCCGCTAACTCTGGCACACGGAGCAGCTGGTTCATGTGGCTTGTAATGTTCTTTATCACTGGTTCGTAGAGAGCGCACATGAGTTCCTTGGAAAGTCTAAGGCGCGAATGCCCAACTGCTGTGACGGAGGTGGTTGGGTGTTTCGATGTATACGATGCAGCTAATTCTTTGATTGATATGCTTGCCAGGTCTTTGTCTTCGAATAAAGGTGTGACGTTGATCTGTGCGGTGGATCCCATTTGATATGATTCTTTCATGCTGCTGATTAAGGACAACAAATCATGATTGGCTGCAGGGTTGCACTGGGCAAAGTGTTTGTATCGCGCTGCGCCAATCAATTCTTTGATAAAATCGACTATGCGTGCGTCTATACAAGCTCCTCCATACGGGCATCCAGAAGGTGCGACGAGTTCAGATCTAGACGCGAATGAGAATAGCGAGTGTTAGTATGTTGCAGTCTTGATTTGCCCTCTTTATGCCTCTATCTTGCCCAGAGATTTGCACTCGCCTAATTATGAACACAAACACGTGTAGAAGACGTCGATTACGCTTCAGTATCGAGGTGTTGTCATTCAATCGTGTGAGCATACGCTTCGTGATGAAGTTGGATGGGGAAATAAAAAGTTTATGCGGTGTAGTTGAAGTGGAAATAGAACAATTCAATACACGATGAGCATGCACGAAACAGAACAAACCTACACTTCTAGTGTGGGGCTGATTGTCTGTATCAAGTAGCACGTAGTGTCGATGGTGCCACCACCACAATCTAAAACCACCAGTTTGTCGTTCGCTTTCAACCCATGCGGGGTTGAAGTGTCAACCTCGGATAGCGTTGCTGCCTCCTGTATTATTTGAAAGGCTAATAACTATGAATTCAGTGCAATGTTCCGCTCGGGTTCACACAGAATGCGCTGGTAGGATGTAGCATAGATTCACCACTTAACATATATACATTTTACACTTTCTGTTCAAGTCCAGCTACTTCAAAGTTCTATTCTAACAAACAATAGACGACTAGTTTGCACGCCGCCTCCCTTGATACCATCAGCAGACCTACCGGTTCTAACGCGAAAATCAATCGGTCGGAAGAGATGTCCTCAATAAGTCCTGCAGTCTTCGCAGTCGCCCGCATAACATGTTTCGCTGTCGCTGTCCAGATAGCTGGGATTGTAACGACCCACTGTATATCTATTGCGCGGATTAGGAGGGTGCTCTCTTTCATTATTTTTTTGAGTGCGTAATTTTTCAGTGCCTCCAGGGAAGCAGCAATCACAGTAGTAACAGGTAGACGCAGCCGCCCATCTATGGACGTGACTTCTGGCACAATTCCTACTTTAGCTTCGAAAAGCGCCATCTTGAACTCTTTGAACAAGTAATGAGCTCCATTCTTGTTTCGAAAGTACTCATCTTCGGCCACCCTGCCGAAAGATACTAATTTACCGCCGCTATCAGTAACGACAGAGGTCACCGTTTTGGAGCTATGCGTTTCCCCCGGGGCTCCTATGTTGATGACGGACCCATGACTTCCCACGAAGCTATAAGCTATACCTGAATACGTGGTGCCGAAGTCGATTGAAACTACAGTAGAGGCTGGAAGAGATGATAGCATTCTTAAACATCTAGTTAACAATATTTGTGTATCCTAGAACTAAGTGTGAAAAAGTCGGCAGCAACGGGTCAGTTATATATAATCTTGCAATCGCCTTATATAAAAGTATCCGCATTGTAACTCGCGCATACGCGGGTCTTATTTTTCAAATCGCGCTCACGTATCATGCTATGATCACCTGGGCCGTTTGCACAAAATTTGGAAGTCTGATAGAGATCAACAGATCGTTTTAAAAACAAATTTCCACCCTAGTTATTTTATACATTTCTATCTGCAGAACGATCAGAATATTTATGGGTCTTGTGCCAGTTCATGTGCTCGGACCCGAAGCACCAGATATACGACATGTAGTGTTGACATTTATATATGCAAATGGGTCGTTCTGAAGCGAGATTATAACTGCGCCACCTGAATAAAATAAAGCCAGGAGCAACGAAACAACTTCATGAGTAAATTATCTGTAACATTCGCTACAAATGATAGAATGATATGCAACGCAGTATATATATTCCAGCAGTGATATGTCATAACATTTTCAAAAATCCGCTTGACACCACAGGATTGCCGATGCGGTTTTGAACGGTTTTCGAAGTACTTTCAAGCACAACCAAACTGAAACAGACATGAAATACTTTGATGCAACGCGATGGACGCAACGCTATATAAAGTGAGCATCGTACTCTACATATGTACGATACTTCTAACAGTAGTGCAGTGGTAGTTTATCGAAGCAAGTCAACGATAACTGCATAAGGATCATTTTTAACGTGCATAGGTATCCTAACCGTCGAGATTTTAACTGTCAAACGTTATCTTCTGCGTGCACGAGACCAGTGAGGTTTTAGATCATAGACTAGTCTCAGAGGTGCTTAAATACCTTTGTCAGCTGATCAGCTCTGTTTATTTTCATTTATCACCGTTTTCTACCGTAATTTTTAAATAGTACATATTACATCTAGAGATATTCATCAAATTTATGTACAGATGTCGCGTGCAGGCGATGGAGTAGTTTTAGCCGATCTTGCCCGCTTTGCCACTGCAACTTCGACGAGTACGTTGGCAGACAGTATTGTCGATACCAAAAACCAATCTCTCAGCACAACAGAGAAAGAAAATGTGACGGAGATGAATGAGGAATAGCCCGGGGAAGGGAGCACGGAAGTTGACAAAGCAAGACACAAGCAAAAGGCAGACCGTACTAGCAGTACAAACATAACAGTAGTAAAGATCGTGGAAATGGAGAGTGGCACAAATTGCGCTATTGATAGTTCGGACGAGGGTACAAAAGATAATATTGTCCATTTAACAGTCAAAGCTACGACCAATTATCATGCTAGTATTAGTAAAAGGCCTGGCACCGCAAGCATTGAGGTAGAATATTGGGATACGGACATTAGAGATAGTACGAAACAATCATTGGCAGTGAGTCCGAATAGTGCTAGTATGGAGAAGCAAAGAGATCACGGGAGTGATACGGAACTGGCCACAAATCAGGCCACTATGGATAACAACAAAGAAGTCGCCCAATCCTATGCCGGCACGCACGAGCTGATATGGGCGAGAACGTTAACGACACCAGTACCATGCAATGCTTATAGCTTCAAGGTCTGTCATGTCGTAGTCTTCATTTCGCCGTGTTGATTGCAAATTATTATATATACATGCATGTTTATTTTTGGATACGGTTTATAGGTTTGTATTTATAAAGATACATCGATATCGACTATATAGTCTTCTATGTGTTTTCCGGGGTATCAAGTCACAACTATGACTCGGTTTTCGTAGGTTGGTGTGTATTCTTTACATTTGCCTAGATCATATATGTACAGATTCATCAGTATATTTCTGTCAAATTTGGTCAGGCCGCAAAGATATATCGATAGAGATATTTTTGAACTTTTTTCCTGGTTCTCTATTTAGCTTTTCCTGGTTGCCTGTTCTCCAGGACGACAAGCATTTTAAACTTGTGAAAGAATGTCTCAACGCAGGCGGTTGATCTGAAAATTCTCTCATACCACGTCGATAAAGATGCGCCACATGTCGTCGACCGTATGAGGGCAATTGCAGGCATCATCCAACACGGCAAGCCTTGGTTTTCAATTCGAAATAGAAACGAGTGCGGAAGCTCGTTCTATGAGCGTAGTTGATTGTTTGTATTTACTTATTTGTACATATACCATTAGCGTGCATGCTATAACATGATCAACCTCTCCCAAATACAGAAAAGTTGGATGCTGCACTCTTACAAGAATTGACTAAACCTTCTCTGGATGCTTTAGAAACGTAAGTGCGAATATAAATGAGCTGGAAGTGCATCTCATTAATTTCCATTTGCGTGATGATCGTAGCTTATTGCTGCTTTCTGATTGCTGGCACAGTTTCTCGGCCATCTTCTGAATGATGACTGAAGAGGCACCTCTTGACCATCACTTCTCGACTTCACAGTGCTTTGAAGAAGACAAACTACAGGTTCCTTTTAGATCCCAAACTCGTGACAACATATTTGAAGATTCAGGGTGGTTGTTTCAATGCAATTGTAATCAATACGGCTACGCTGAAAGTCCGGGAGCAATCCAAGTGCTTATACAAATTTCCTGGGTCGTGCATGGGTAGGCACGTGCTGGCCGTGGATATAACAACTCCCACTGGCAGTGTAGCAATATTGATGACAAGCCATTTAGAGAGTCTGGCGTAAGTTGTATACATTTGTCGCCTCTCTGTATGTACAATATTTTCCCTCTAAATTTCGAACGTCCTCTAAAAATACCTTTTGAAACGTCTCTTTCGGAATTCGGAGTCTTTTTGCTCCTCTTTCGGCAATTTATGCAAAAGTATCCACGAATACAACCGGTTTTCTCGTTGCCGACATGTATTGTATTTTCTTTTATCGCAGGAAAAACTCTGGCGAACGCGTCAAACAAATGGACTGGGTCTTCAATCATATGGACACACTGAGTATTCCGAGTATATTTGGAGGCGATACAAATATCAGAGTAAAAGAGGTGAAGTGACTCGCTTATAACGCTTCAATTCTAGCATAATTTATCCATCTGCTATTCAATTTTTCAAGTATCCAGCTAATGATTCGGTCGTATCTAAACAGCTTAAGCAAACCAAAGTGTTAGCCTGAGGAAGCAAGCTGGCGGAAAAGGACAGTCAAATGGAATGTTTATAATGAATCATTGCGTGTAGGTCTCGAATTGAGGTAAGTTGTTGTTGGGGTACATATAGGGCTTTCGAATCTTATGCCACCCATCTTTGATCGCAGACAGTCGCAGACGCCTGGGCATTAGCCGGAAGCCCTCTAGGTGCAAAATACACCTGAGATCTGAAATTGAATGACAACCTTCCTAGTAAGTTGTGTCAATATTGGCCTTAGTCAGCGCATTTTCGAGATTCTTCGCAACAGTTTCATTCTTCTTAAATGATGTACATTGTCTGAAGGAGAAACTCTCTCTACTCGTTTATATGCAGCGGACCCGAGTTGTCTATATGCCCCGCATTTTCAATTCGATAAATTTTCGTCAGCGAAGGACAGAATTTGAGGTAATTAGAAATGTAGCAGGGGTTTTTTTCCTGCTACCCTATAATATTCCAAAATGTCGAGGGTAGTTCAAAGTTTTTCACCTTCCTAACATCACATTCTGTTTTAATCCCTATATAGTGAGCTAGCGAGCTCTGCCTCTAACTTCCACCTAGTCGGTAAAAAGAGGTATGACCGTACAAGCAGTAGCTTCTTATGTCTAGTTGTGCTCGTATCTATTAAATATATTGTTACCTATTTACATATCTAACGATTTCGTTTCGCAACACTTACACTGCCAGGTTGCCTTGTGGAGTGTTCCCATCTGATCACTTTGGAATTGTGGCCAACATTGGCATCAAATGAAGGTAACCAATAGATACGTATTCATATGTGGACAAAGCCTCCGAATGAATATATACATATAACATGGCCAGGTGAATAAAGGCCTCGGTGAAAAAATCAACCTTGACCACCCAACAGTTAAAACCTTTTTGTAAATACGTCAGGCGGTTCCAAGTCGATTTTTGTTTCTGCTGTTGCCTGCTTTTTTTGATGATTCGGCTTTATACTCTACTAAAATTTTACTATTGAATTTGGTATAGGCCCGAAATTAATGTTAGGGTTTTGGGACCCAAACCCAATTTTCGGTTTTTTTTCTTGGATAAAATATATCTGGTTTGGTAGGAACTGGATTGAAGTAGGGTATATCTAAATAGAGTATAGGCGCCTGCCTCCTACTTTTTTGGGGGGAAATGTTAGCAGCCGGGCGAACAAAGCCTCGAGTGTATTCGGTACAGTTTCATCGGCTATTTACTCTCTAACTTAACTAGTGTCTCAGGAACAATAAATAAAAATCATGCGACGAAAAGCAAACAGTCTCGTGCATCTAGAAAGTACTTGTAGACAATAGCAGCTCCGATATAGAAGACAGATGCATACACAGGCAAAAAGATAGTACAATGCATTGTACAAATAAGATGAAAGAGGCTGATTTGTAATCTGAAACATACGCCTTCATTGCACTGGGGGGTAAGGAATAATGTGATCGCCAACCTTGACTGAGGTGACACCTTCACCAATACTCTCCACAATTGCCCCAGCCGCGTGACTGAAGATGTAAGGGAACTTTCATTCGGCATCTTGACCTGGCTGTAATTATATTATATATATATATATATATAATATATATATAACAAATCCCTTCTTAACGAATGTGTCAAGCGTAGCGGATTAAAAACGTTTCAAACTGATGGTGATCCAATATTTCAAATTCGGTGCAATTTCATTCCAAAGGGCAAATACCAAATAGTATGTATCTGTGAAATGAATACTGAATAGCCTAATCATAATACATAGGGCAAGGCCAAAGAACATATGTGTGTACAAACTGTGTACATAGCTAAAATGATTAAATGAAGGATCCTGGGACCTGGAATCTGGATTCCACATTGACTCTGGAGTCCCCGAGTATGGAGTCTGGAGTGTGGACCAGTGGAGACTGGAGAGTGTGGAGACGAGTGTGGACTGTGGTCCTGTGGAGTGAGTCTGTGGAGTGTGGACTGTGGAACCCGAACGGCGAACAGTAGAGTGTAGAGTGTGGACTGTGGACTGAGAGTCTGAGACTCACTGATCACTTGGGCTCAGTGGGCTGGTATGTATCATAGATATGAGGTCGCGACATGTCGTCTGAAAACACATGTAAACGACCGTCGCGACGTGTCGTCAGAAGTATGTCGTATGTCGTTTAGATATACATACTGGACAAGTTACAGTCGGAAATTTTCAAAATATTCATGTTCATCCATTGGTAATCGATGAAAGGTTCCGTGATGATTGGCGATATTTTCAGATATTGATGATTCAGAGGGTCTAATCTCTTCAATCTTGAGTCGGCCACAAGACATGTCGCGAACCCAATGTCGCGACATATCGCCTAAAAAAAACATGTAAACGACCGTCGCGACGTGTCGCCATACGTAGGCAAAAAACATGTCGTAATGTCGTTTACCAGCTCAGTTAAATGATAGGCGACTATGAACAGTGAGTAGTGAGCACTGAGTCGTATTTATGGTGTCGTCTGTACTATATTTGCCGACATATTGTTTTTCATACAAAACAAAATTCTCAGACATGTATGACACCTCAGTAAGACTTCTAAACTAAAGAGTTTCGTATATAAATTCAGTCATCAGTACCTTGAGAATAGTACTCTTGTGTGGGGGGGGTCCGATGTCGGCGACAGTCGGGCCGACGTAAAACCAAACGACATGTACGACGTGTCGTGCGACATTCTGGCAGGGTGATGTCGTCGTGGTCGGATGCCCACTCAGTGCCCGCCCGCGGTGAGTGACAGTGACTGTATGACTGAGTGTAATATGTATGATATATAAATATTTAACTTTTTGTCAAAAAAATAAATTTACATATTTCACAGTTGTTCAATGTTCAATTGTTCACACTTATAAGTATTTTTTTAAGAATTTGTTTTTATATCTATATTATAAAAAACCGAAGCATAACAAATAAGATATAAATACATAAAAATAAGTAAAAACCCTAATTTAATATTTAATTAGTAATTTGTCAAAATTAAATATATATATTTCCAGAGTAGAATGAGTTATTGACTATTTCTATTTTATAATTGTCATTTGAACCGAATCTGAATCTACTCACTGCTCTTCGCTATACTATTCTATTTTCTACTCCTAAATTCCCAGGGACCCAGAGGTGACGCCGTGACGTAAATATGTAAATATGTCATATTGACATATATGTTGGTGATTGTTTTTTATTCTATAGCAGTCTGCAATCCGAACGGCTTGTTACCTGTAGGGCCCGCAAGGTCCGCAGCCCCGCACTGACGGTTACACTCAACAGTAGTGCAGTCCAGCCCAATATTTTTAGTAATATATAAACCAAAAGCCAACCTATACAACTTTCAAAACAAAACATCCAATAAATAAATTTATATAGAAATGAGTTTGCTTGTAAGAAGCGCTGTCGCAGTAGTCACTTTCAGTGCGGCATCCGTCGTGGCTGAGAATGAAATGCTTGTAAATGAGAATGGTATTGCTCTTCCACGTGATGCTGCCGGCAACTTGGGCTGGTGGACCTCAAACGAAGAACCGGCGGTGTTTACAGCCACACCCGTCTTCGGACAAGAATCAGAATTACGAACTTTAGATGGGCTTTGTGTCACAATTGATGACAGTGATGCAACACCGTGGCCAGTTCTGGGTCCTTGTACAGGTGAACTATACTTGTTTGAACAAAAATTGATTAAGTGGTACAATCATGCCGAGATCTGTTTTAGTGAAACAGAAGGAATGCTTTCAATGGGCAGTGGCTGTGGGTATAAAGTGCACAAGGTGGCACAACCTCTACGAGCAAGAAATTTCGTGCGAAGAGAAATATGTTGGCCGTTCAGATCATCCTACCTGCAGTGGATTCCAAGAGCAAAAACTTTGCTGTAAATATTCGCACAATTGTGGAGATCTACACAAGTGTACTTCTTCTTTCTGTTGTAAAGCTGATTCTGGTGATGAGACGACCACCTATATCAGCCCAGCTACCCCGAGCTCGACTGTTCCAGAAGCAGAATTCATCCAAGCACCAGCTGAAATCACCCAAGCGTCGGTAGAAGAAACTTCAGTAGAAGTAGTCGATGTTGTGGTAGACAGTGTGGTTGATAGCTATACACCTAAGCCCACCACCAGTCCTTCACTCCAGGAGCCGAGAACTTGTGGCAATTTGAGCCAGTTCACGCGTCTCGTGCATTGCACTGATGGGAAGTATGACGACAGCATGGCCGATGTAATTGCTAGCAGGTACACATACAAGGAAATGTGTTGTGTTGTGTTATATCGATACAACTAGATATGTAATTAAAGCTTTCATTCAGTTTCTACGCCGCTCCTTTAACGAATCAATATATACATATATATATATATATGGTTATATATAGGGTTATATATATATATATATATTTATAATAGGTCCAAACTGGTAGTGATCAAGAAACGCGATGATAATAAAAAAACAATTTATATATCGATCACAGAGATTGTGATCGTTTCTCCGACTGGATCTTGTCGAGATAATGAGAATGTAGTAAGCTAATTCGTTGTCGAGCTTTTGAAGGCGATAAAACACGATTGTAGTTGCACCAGGAATGGCTTGACTGTGTGGATCGGCGTGTGTACGGCAACTAAAAAAGGGTTCTCTAGCTAAAGTCTCATAACGTGAATCATTCCCATACCGGGAGGCGTGAGACTAAGACATTTCGCGATGATACTCAGGTACCCTTTCGTATTTAGCCCCTTTAGGACCTCCTGCCTAGGGATAGTCCCCGACTTCCGTGCCTGGGTCATAGCATACGGCATCAGACCAACTATTCAATACCTGATTGAATACTCGCGGGAATTATTCATTAACTGTCACGCCATAATCAGAACCGAAGGTACCGCCGCGCACGGCTGCTGTTATAAACGCATAGCTCCCAGAAGCTGTAATTGCCGTCCGGCTTTACTGTATGACATCTCAGTGACCTTATGGCAGCCCCATATTTGTAGCTTTGTCAGCCGCTTGGCGGAGCTCAGTAGGTGATCCATGATCTAATACAGCATTCGCATTGTGCAAACAGGAAGAAGATGCGTCAGAATGGACGTACACGTTCTTCGTCACTATCTTCGGATATCTATGGATATTGATAGTTACAGTTATAGCTATTTATATATATATTTATATAAATATATATATAGATAAAGATATAGATTAGATATAGATATGGATATCATATAGATGAAATATAGACATAAATTATAGTACAGATACACAATTCCCTATTGCAATAACTATGGCGCACACGATCTGCGCTACCCCGGCTTGTGGGAACGACACACACAGATTTTCAATATTCGATACAGTATGCGCACTTGCATAACCACCACTCAAAATACATATTACACAAATGTATAATTCACTAAACCACCAAACTAATACACTGGAGACTTGATAAGTGTTGTAAAAAAAGCAAACGAACAAGTGCTGAGAAGGCATAGGGTCAAACTATCGCTGACAACAACGTGGCTGATAGTAATGGGATTTCAAATGCGCGTTTACAAACCAAAATATTATGCACATGTCCATTCTTCGGTACGTATAGTACGTATACAGTACAAATATATACCCATTCGTTCTCACCAACCGACTTACATCATCGTTGACCGCACGGCACCATGACAGGTTGAGTTTGAGAAGGGTGTTTCGGCAGGTGTCGATCAAGAGCCTGAACACCGCTTCGTCGATCAGGTCTAGTCCTTTGAGATTGAGAGTGTGCAGTTGTGTTCCGTATGCTGTGTGTGATGAAGACAACAGTATCGATGTGAACATATTAGGAAACGTGATTTCTTCCAACGTTGTTATTTGAGGTGATACAGCTCTGGTCCAGAACCGGTCAGAAGAAGCGAAACAAATACATACATACACGATTCTTCTGAGCTCACCACCCTAGAGAGAACTCTCGAAGGCAACGTGGCATGGACAACGAACGATGACAAGGACAAGTTCACAAAAGAGACTGCATTAGACAGAGACTGCAAATCGTCGCTTAGCCAAGGGATCCACTACTGAAACAAGTATGAAGATTTTCCTATCATATGATTTTGCAACCATTGCACCGCCACACGCTCACTGCAGAGCCAGCTAAGCCAATCTGACGATTATGTATCGATATAGCCGTGCGTGACCAACCTTCTGCCTACAGACTTCTGCAGGATTTTTCTTCTGCAGAACTTTTGAAACCACGAACGAGGAACGACACACGAGAACACCTTAGGATCACTAGTGAGGCACCCGCTATTCCTGTAATGCGAAGCTCGCTAGTGTGCCCTACTTCAAACTGGTTTTCACCACAAGAAGTTACGGAGTGGATGCAAAGAATCTATTGGTAATGACCCTTCCGTTGCCTTGAATCTGAGTCTTGAAAGTGTGTTGCCCGCAAGCATCGGTCCGCGACTGCAACTCCCCATGATATTTTTTTAGGACTCTCGTACTATCTATATATACCAGGCCATCCGGAATGGTTTCGCAAGCACCCACAACAGACGAACGATTCCACATATAGCAGCATTATAGGCTCTCCATATATATGCACTAGACTGGTATGGATATAGTACTGTAAACTGTATAGCAATTGCATACCGTTGATGATGAGTGCCACAGCTTCATTGGTGACGTCTCGAGAGCCGCCTATCTCCAATCGCTCAATAAGTTTACACTTGTCAATAAAACTGCAAGTCCGATTGTAAGGACGAGTGCAATGTGTTAGTTCCAGAAAAAGGGAGAGCGTGCTTGTGAGGGATGTGTACAGCGTTACGAATAGGTGCTGATAGTTGCATGTTCGTGTGTGTGTCGATGTGTTCGCAGCGCTACCTTTTGCACACGTCATTGCACATCCGTAACAAGGCCAATATTCACACAAAAACGCATGCGCATACGCACACGCACGTCAGTCCACTCGCCGTGAGAAAACAACTTCATCCCGCAGCTTGTCTAACAGGGACAAGCCCAACACCAACAAAACAGATCAATGCCACTCGATGACTTGCTGCACTTGTGACAGGGTAGGTAGAATCAGTCTCCACGATACTGCACAAGCGCTGTTGGCAGAAGAGATTCAATAGGGGCCATCCACGCGACTACGGTCATGCAAGGTCCAGTGTAGATATTCCTACCCCACCCCCCATCCCCCAACCAAACACCCCTGCCACTAGACTGTATGATGCACTGGTCAGCGTACGACCGTGCAGACACAAAGAAACCATACGTCTGGGGCAGAGAAGCGCACACAGCCACTCTACCAAGCACGTGAGCGATCTCATTATACACGCCGACAGCCTCATATTTTGCATAGCTCACATGCCGTGGGCTATGGCCATGCCTACCTCGTTATGTGGAAGTCTGTGAGAGCCACATTGTCGTTCATAACCAGAGTCGTCAGCGCCGAACAGCGGTCGGCAATTGCTTTGAAGGTGATCTATGCAGATGAGGAAAGTCAGTCGGGGTGAGAATATACAGGCGATGATTTCAAAGCTCGCAAGACTCAAACGCTATCTACCGAGTCGTGTGTGTGAACACACCAGCGCTGAAGCTGTGAGGGATATGCATGCTCCTCAAACAACCAAACATATACACACACACACACACACACAAACTAGCGCTCAGGAGCCCCTCACCTCTGTTAGCTGAGGGTTGCCAGATATGTCCAAGGTGAGTAGATTGGCACCCACTGACCGGAGCAAATGCGCCATGCCCTCGTCTGTAACGCCATCCAAGTAGGTAAGGCCGAGATGCTTCAGACTGGTCAGAGTTTCCAGGTGCTTGAGTGCGTCGTCGTCCACTCGTGACATATGATTCAGCGTTAACGTTTCTATTTCTGTGGCGAGAGGGAAGTGAGGTGAGAGAGAAAAAGTTCATTGAGAGTATTGGTGTATATGAGCGCTTCTATCCACCATAATTGCTCCATAAAATATGCACAAAGGTTTCTCAAAGTCAATTTACAGTGAATGCACTCCCGCGCAAAAAAAACCCCTACTACCACAACTCGCAGGCACGATGGGTATGTAATTCGGCTAATACAGTAAACATACCTCTGCACAGGAATCCCATCGTTTTCAAGGTAGCCTCGCCCAATTTCGCTGACCAAGACACATCAAATTCAACAAGTTTTGTGTGTGACTCGAGAAAGTCTGAGTATATTTGATCTGTCACCAGATATGAACCGTGTAGAAGCAGACTAGTGATGTCCGGGCACGCCTCGCTTATAACAGAAAGAGCCTATAGAGACGGATGAATCAGATCAGTGCACAAACCAAGAAACTCCAACCCTCCGGTGACATGGAGGCTGGAGGTAAGGAGCTCAGCGATGTGGGAAATGAACCGGATATGCATACTGGCGTGACACATGTGATACTATGCCCACCATCACATTGTCTGTGAGTGCCTGAACGCGAATGGCGATGGAACCAGAACTAACCTTCCATTCTGATAAGTAGCCAGTTATATAAACATTTGATTGTGCACAGATCAACGCATCCGCACCCGATCTCATGAGTGGCTACTAATATAAATTATCACTCACCTCATCTTGTAACTGGCCGCACTCGCCCAGGTGGAGCTTGATCAACTGCGGGCAGTTGTATCCTATTTGTTTGAAACTCTCGGGGTCTAATTTCGCACAATCCAGCAAAATGAGTTGATTGTGTGTCTCGTTGTCCTCTAAGAAGAGCGGCAGAATATCTGGTCAGGGCGATGGTCAGTGACAATCTGGTTAGAAGTCCAGTCTGACCTATGTATTTGCAGCTGGGAACAAGAAGACATAGTCACCCAACATAACAGACTCTAAATGAGTGCATCTCGTTCAAGATTGTACAACAGTAAAGTGCGTATAATCTATAGCAAAAAAATACGCAGCAATGAAGTACATACCTCACATATTTCCAACATGTTCTGCTACCTAGACATAAATGATAGCTACAACAATTCAGAGTCAAACTCCTTCAACACCATAGTAAAGGTAATATATTAACCCAAACGTATATACGTAAATGTACATACATACTTGTATGTATATATATATGAATATATACAAGTAGATATATATATATATATATATAATATATATATATGTATGCATGTAATATAATAGTATAATAATATAATAAT